TTAATGCAGGAAGAACAGTGGAATTGAAGAGATGTGCAGGAGCTAGAGGTTCTTTATCCTCTTAGCTATTTGTTCGACACTCTTGAAGGCATTCCAAGCTGCTCTCTTTCTCCTGTGCAACTCAGGTGCCAGGTCATTCGTCATGTTGAGTTCTCGACCTAGGTACACATAACGGTTTCATTCGGATATGGTCATTCCATTGAGAGTGAATGGAATGTCAGGAACCAGTCCGTTTCTCATAAACATTGTCTTTGTGAGATTCAGCTGTAGGCTGACCTTTCCACACTCACAGTCAAAGTTGGCCAGCATTTGTGCTGCTTGGCTAATGTTTGGAGTTATTAGAACGATGTCATCAGCTAAGCGGAGGTGGTGTAGTTGCCAAACGTCTATCTTCACTCCCATTCCTTCCCATTCCAGTCATCGCATGACATTCTCGAGGGTGGCACTGAAAAGTTTCGGTGAAATGGTGTCACCCTGCCGAAACCCTCTCGACGTCAATGATCACCTTCCTGTAGAATGGTGAGATCCTGGTAGTGAATCCGTAATACAGCTCATGGAGGATCCTGATGTATTGAGTTTGAACGCCCTGTTTGGCTAGGGCTTCGATGACTGCTTCAGTCTCAACAGAATCAAAGGCCTTCTTTAAATCAATGAACATGAGACAGAGCGGCATCTTGAACTCCTGACGAACTTCAATGAGCTTGGTTATTGTGTTTATATGGTTGATTGTGCTGAATCCTTTGCAGAACCTGGCTTGCTCACATGGTTGTCCTTCATCTAGTGTTCTGCCAATCCTATTCATGATGACTTAAGTGAACAGCTTGTAGACGACAGACAACAGGCAGATCGGGCAATAGTTGCCAATGTCGTGAATGTCTCCCTTCTTGTACTGTAGAAGAGTCCTGCTGGTTTTCCATTGGGATGGACCTTGCATTCAGACAGGGAGCGTGTGAAGAGCCGAGCCAGTGTATTGATGAGTTCTGATGGCAGGTTCTTCAGGTTCTTCAGGTGTTCGGGTCTGACCTTGTTTGGGCCGGGTGCTGTTTGCCTCTTTACCAACGAAATGATGTGTTGGATTTTGGAATGGAGAACGTTGGGAATGACATATCCATCCTGTGAAATTTGGTATGTGGGCAGGTGGATGTGGCTATCGAAGAGATCCAAGTAGAAGTCAAGGATAATCTTCTCCATTGCCCTTCTGGAAGATGTGATAGATCCATCAGGATGTCAGAGGGCAGTCATCTTGGTCTTGTAGTTAGCGAAGGACAGGTAGGCATTGCGAATGCTTTTCCCAGCTTCTACCGCATCGGCCAGCACTGCTGCTCTTCTCTCTTTGAGGTCTTCCTTTATCATTTATCTGACTGCTTTGCGAGCTCGGATGTTCGCTTGTGGTTGCTTGAGGTTCTCACCAAGCCACGTTGGCGAATGAGCTCGAGAGTTTTCGAAGACAGTCATCTTTTTGTGGCTATCTTTCTCTTGGTGTTCTTTGCACAATCATGGAGGTGCTGAACCAGTCGATCGTATTCTTCGTCAACGTTGTTAATGATGGCATCTTCCCATATTGTCACAATAGTGCCAAAGAGCTCCCAGTTGGTGGTCGTTCTGGAAGTTCTCTTCTTAAACTTTGCAGCCCTTTCTCCCTGCTTCATGAAGTAGAATTTTGCACAAAGGAGACGGTGGTTCGATCCTGTTTGGCATTTTGGGACAACAGCGACATAGGTCAGGCAAGACCGTTGGTTGAATATGATGTGGTCAATTTCATTGTGGAACTGTCCACCGGGAGACTCCCATGTCCAGTATTTAGACTCGCCCTTCTGAAACTGTGAGTTACCATGGATGGTCTTGGTCGACATCATGAACTCAGACAGTCTCTCACCCAGTTCCTTCCATTCTAGGTCTCGGGTCCCAATGAGGAGTTCTTTGGCTGATCTTCTCGGTCCTATCTTGTCATTAAAATCACCAACAATAATCTTGTAAAAGGCGTGGTCTTCCTTATAGAATTTCTCCAGCTCCATGTAGAATTTCTCAATTTCTTCTTTATCATAATTGGATGTTGGTGCATAGACAACGAAGATAGAAACTGCTGGCAGTGAGCCACATCTATTCAAGTGTAAACGACCAATTTGGGTTGTTAGGCATTCGAATGAATCAATGCTCATGGCCAAGTTTGTGTTGACAAGGACACTGACACCAACGACACCGCTTTTGTGGCATGTTCCGAGGAACAGTTCTTCTCCAGTATCAAAAATGGCGTGATGTGGTTGATGTCTTCTCGTCTCGGTCAGACCAATGATGTCGTACTTGATCTTTTGCGCTTGCACCATCAGGGCCTTGATGGATGCATCTGATGCCAGCGTACATGCATTGAAAGTACAGACATTCATTTTAGTCCTTCTTCATTTTGGCAGCCTAGTTCAGCCTTGAGATTTTATCAGCCTCTGCTTCCTCATCCTTCTTTACACTGCTGTATTGGTGGCTCTTTCAGGGTCAGGGCAATGAGACCCATTGTATTTACTGTTTTTGGCATATTGAATATGCCACAGATAGCTTGCTAGGCTCTGCCAGGCAGGCAGTATACTTCAGGATACTCTCAGTAGCTTGCCAGGCTCTTCAAGAGGGATAGAGGCTTTTAGGGCGGTCTCTAATCACCCTTGCGGGTGTTCCCATGTTTTAAACCATATTTAAATAAAAGGCCCTCCCGTTGATCATCAATTTGCTCGAGCGGGCCCAGTAACTTCTCCATTGGAGACTTTGTTGTTACTGTGTTTGGCATATCGAATACTCTGGGTAGCTTGCCGGGCTCTCCGAACCCCATCAAATATGGTGTGGTAATCTTGGAAGATGGATATTAAGTGTTTAACAGATATTTAATTTAAGAAACAATTTTAATAATAATAATAATAATAAAAAGTAATGTGGAGTTCATACCCAATTCAATCAGCTTAATCAATGGCTGAATAAATAGCAGTACCTCTAGACACAAAAAAAGGATTTGGGGCACCAAAAAGAGTGTTCCAGGGATTAGAGCTCATCCTGGCTGAAGTCCTGGACCACCTGGTCCCCTGAGCACTGCTACGAATAACACCCACCCAGACGAGGTGGAGCAGAGCCCCGGACACCAGGGGAGTCATCCAAAAACCCAAAACCCAAACATAGCTTTTTGCTTGTTTCAGAAAATCATCTCATCCATGGAAGATTTTAACTAAGCACACAGTCACTCCTGACAGCATAGATTCCCGCTGGTGTGGTATCTTTCTGTCCATCTGTCCGATCTGTTCTCTTGTCTTTGGCACCCATTATTTCTGTTGATTCCCTGTTTGGGGTCAGTTTTCCTAGTGATTTTCTGACTTCCTTCCAGGTAGGTTCTCCTCAGACTAGGAGACTGTTTCCATATCAACTGACTATTTCATTCACCTAGAGCAAATTCTTCCTCTAAATGAGGATGAATTTGGTGGGACAGAAGATAGGCCAGTGGGGATGCGATACATGATACGCCTGGGTTTGAGCTTCCAAAATCAGGACCAACTCAGCATTACCAACAGGATCCAGATATGGGGGAGAGAAAGGAAATATTGCTAAGGGAGGGCAGCAGTGGTGCCCTCAGGAAATAAATTTTATTTCCTCGGGAAAAATATTGTTTCCTCGGGAAATACATTTTCTATATGTGACACTGCTCTGGCCCTTTCCCCGGCCACACACTTTATACAGTCTGTCCACCCCCCCACCACCCAAACTCCAGGCCTCCGCCTCCTCCCTGAGGCCCTTTGTGAGCAGGGCCATAGCCACACATTTGTCAGGATTCTAGTTTCTGGAGAAGGGAGGATGGCGCCCCCGTGAGTCACTCTCTCTTTCTGAACAGAAATGTCCCCTCAAGGTCACTGTTGGGGATGCAGCCAGGCCGGGGACAGAACGTGGCATGAGACGTGCCCCTTTACTGCGATGTGTATATTTGTGTGTGGCCTTTGAAATTCCTTTCCTGGTCTTTTGCTTCTGCGGGAGCTTCTTGGGTCTGTTGCTGTAGATAGGTGAGGTCTTATCAGGCCTTACTTCCGGTTTTTCCTGTTTTCTGCAAGGTCTGCTTTTGCCATTGCCTTGGAGGGGGCCTTCCCTATCCTGCCTACATCACCATGGTTCTGAGAGACCCATCAGGAGGCAGCAAGGCTTGAGGCACCTGACAGCATTTACTTGGTGCTGTCAGCTAGGGACCTGCTTCGGGGACATCCTGCATTGCCCTGTGGAGTGGGCAGTGGTGACTGGTGGGTCAGTGCCCTCCCCAGGCAGTAGGGCTGGGAGTAGACTTTGCAACTGCATCCCCAGCAAGTGGGGTGGGAGGGAAGCCAATGTCACCCTCAGGCAGGCCTGGATGCTCCGTGAGCTCTCCAGCTCTCCCCAACTCTCTCAAGCAACTTTCACAGCCCAGAAAGTTCTGGGCTCTGGCCAAGGCTATCCTAGGGGAGATAAGACACGCTCCAACCACGACTGGATGGGACAGAGCTAAAAGAGCTGACAGACAACGATCTCTGTGAAGACACTGAACTTCCTTTCTCAGGCCTGCGAGGGAGGAAAAGAACTTGGCAGTGCAAGGGGGAACCTGAGAGGTGTCGCTGGGGTTGGGGACAGGGAGAAGGGAAGTCACTTTGTTTGCTGCCACCCAGAAGCCAAGAGTACTTCCTCTGTGAATTTTTTGGCCACCCACCCCTTGGCCTAGTTCATCAGCCGTGGACCACCTCAGCCTGTGACGGTGGGCACAGCCCCCAGAGAAGGTGCAGAGGGTGGCTAGGTGCGAGCCCCCATCTCTCAGCCCCTCGCTCTGAGGGATCCCAAACCTGGTCAGGACCTGTCCCACACCTAAGGCAGGAGGGGCCCCCTCACTGGCCATGGGAGGCCCTTGTGCAATACAGTAAGAGCTGCCTCGGTCACAGGAAGTGCTGGTCATGCTCAGGACCTCTCGGCAACACCCAGAGCAGCCCCGCTGCTGCCCATCCTGAGCAGAGTATGGCATGGGCCCAGCCCCGTTGCTGCTGCTGCCCCTGCTGGCGTCCTTGCTGGACTGTGAGTGACCGGACAGGGGAACCCCATGGGGTGCAGCTGGCACTTGGGACGCACCTCTGGGGGTGCGGGACAGAAGCAAAGGGTTACCCTGGTGCTGGATCACTCCCTCTTCCCCTGTCTCCCAAGCCTGGACAGAGGACACTGCTCAGAGGGACAGTCCTGCCATGCCCAGGGACATGGGGCCGGAGACATGGCACTCATGTTTCTGTGTCTCTCCTCCCCAACCAGCTGCCTCAGAAGACTGTGGCAATGGAAACTTTAAGATGGACCAGCCAGAGCATCTGACAGCCCCCAAGGGTGGCGCTGTCCGCATCCCCTGCTCCTTCCACCACAGCTGGGAGTTAGCTGAGATTCTTGAGGTGAATATAGACTGGAGGCGGAAGCACTTCCATGGAGATTTCATCTACGACACGACTCTGAATTGGACCCATGAGGAGTTCAAGGACCGTGTCCGCCTGGACTGGACACAGGGCCAGACCCGATGCGCCCTCCTCATCTGGAACCTGCGGAGGGGGGACGCGACCATGTCCTTCTGCCAAGTGACGTTGCAAACAAAGAGTTGCGGGCCAAGGAGGTTTCAGTTGTTCCAGGGGACCAACCTCAGCATCACTCCAGGTGAGTCAGCTGTTCGGTCCAGCCCCTTTGTCCTAAAGCCTCCTTCTTTTCGCATTCTCCATTTCAGTTACATTTCTGAAGAATTTGGACATCAATAAACAAAATTTGGGGAGCTGGAGACAGTGGGTAGGATGCTTGCCTTGCAAGTGGCTGACCCAGGTTCAATCCCTACTACCTCATATGACCTCTGATGTTACCAAGACTGATCCCTTAGCACAGAGCAAAAGGAAGCACCAAATTTTATACGGCAGTTTAGAGTTCAAAAGGTTTTCTCTTATTGAGGTGCCTCCCATCATTCTCAGGGGCCTCAAGGACCACTCCTGGCCACTGTTGGTCAACAAGGCCAGCTTTCAATCAAGGACCCAGAACTTAAGGCTGTTTGAGCTCTGGGGTGTTGGGGGTCACCCAGGCCGCACTTGGGGTTCTACAGAGCTGAACCTCCTGTGGTACTCAGGAGGTCACATGGTGCCAAGGGTCAAACTGGGTTTTCCACATGCCAGACTCGAGCATGGAGCCCTTTGCTGTTCTCTCTGCCATGGTCAAGGAAGAAAGCTGTGGGGCTGTGTCCGTTCATGGTCAGGGCATGATTCTTGATGCTGGGGACTGGACCGGGTCAGCTGTGCATAAGAAGTGCCTAATCTGCTGGTCACTCTTTCTAGCCCTTAGCTGCTCTTTGATGCTGACTTTACTGTTTTTGTTTTGGTTTGTGATTTTTGCTTTTTGGGTCACAACCAGACATGCATAGGGTTTCTCCTGGTTCTGCACTCAGGAATTACACCTGGTGGTTCTCGGGGGACCATGTGAGATGCTGGGAATAAAACTCGGGTTGGCTGCATGCAAGGCAAATGTCCTACCCGCTGTGCTATTGCTCCAGCCCCTGACTTTACTTTTTAAAATTCTTTCATTGGATCTGGAGCAATGGTACTGTGGGGTGGGCACTTGCCTTGCCTATGACAGACCTGGTTTCAATCCCCGGCATCCCGCTGGTCCCCCAAGCACTAACATGAGTGATTCCTGAGGGCAGATTTGGAGCAACCCCTGAGTATTGCTGGGTGTGACACCCCCTAAAAAAGCTTATAGATAGATATTTTAAGGATGAGGCAGGAGCAATATTGTTGTGGGAAGGACGCTTACCTTACACCTGGTCAACCCAGGTTTGATCACCAGCATCCTATACAGTACCCAGAACACTGCCAGGTGCAATTTCTTAGTGCAAAGCCAGGAACCCCCCCCCCCAAAAAAAAACAAAAACAAATAAAAAGAAAAAAAAACAAAAGAAAAAAATATTTTATGGAAATTCCACTGCACTACAGCATTGTGTCATGTAATATAGTGTCTTGAAAGTTGTATTGGAATATTGGCATCAGAGTCCTCTGGGCCTCCTGAGGAGAATTCACTGATGTCCTGTGTCTCCTCAGCCCAACCTGACACTGGCCTGGATATGACCAACGGCACACAGAGCTCTCCCTTGACACTGGACACCATGGTCGCAATCATGGTGACCGTCACACTATTGAAAATGACAATTTTGGGGCTGATCTCCTACCTCGTGTGGAAGAGAAGTCAAGGTAGGTGATGCCGGGCCCTGCCCCTGCCCCGACCTTCTACCAGGTGACTCCAGCTCCTGTGCCAGGAAGACAGTCAGAGGCAGGGCTGGGCCGGTGGTTCCCTGTGAGGCCGTCAGCCAGGCATAATCCCAGAATCACAAGGTCCGTTGAACCCTGAGCACCAAGGGGACACACACACACACATACACACACAAAGATGCACACAGAAATACACAGACATACACATAGACACACAGAGATACACAGACAAATACACACAGAGAGATACACAGAGATAGACACACACACACACACACACACACGACAGACACACACACAGAGTCTGGAGATGGATGCGAGAGTGGCCACATGCCTTGTGATGTGGTTTGGGGGAAGCTCCTTCAGTTCCCCAGGGGGGCAGCATCGCAGCCCTGGCAATGTGGGGGTTCCAGAGGCTGCTGAGAAGCTTCTGGGTTCTGTTACTCCCATACGGGTGAAGGCTTCCTGCACGGGTGGGCGTCCTCTGAGATGGGCCCCCAAGGCTGTGGGGGAAGGGGAGCCCCAGGAGGCTATGGGGGAGGGGAGCCCTGATATTCTAGGGAAGAAGGAGGCCGAGGGGGAGGGGAATCGGAACCACAGTGGCCTCCTAGGAAGGGCTCTGAGAGGTTCCTCATGGGAAGGTGTGGCCACAAGGCAGGGGCTAGGCAGGGTCCAGCCGTGGGTGTCCAGGCAGAGAGAGCAGCGGGCAGGTCACTCCTCAGGTCTGGTCAGGGCAGGAGAGCCACAGCTCCAGACAAAGGTAGGGGGCCCCTCTCACCCCTGCCCCCAAGAGAGGGGGAGAAAGATACAGGGGTTCAGGCTGCAGAGCGGTGCTCCCGATGGGCTGCGAGGACAAGAGCAGGTTGGGGGTGGGGGGAGCCTCGGGCCCTCCCCGTGGGCTCATGGCGCTGCTTTGCAGCTAGTCTTGGGGGGGTCTCTGGTAGGTCAGAGTAGAGACATGGGTTTTGGCGGGGGACAGCGGCCACCAAGACACATTGTCTGTGGACAGAGGAGAGGACAGCCGCCCTGCCTGACCCTTTCTCTCTTGCTCCCCGGACTGACGTCTCCCCCACCCTTCATTGCTTTCTCTAGCTCCAGAAGCAGCCCCTCCCTGCCTGTCCCAGACCCTCCCAACAGGAGCCCTGAACTGAGGGACTCCCCAACCCCACCGTCACCGGCATGGGAGGACCCAGCCAGGGTTCCAGTGGCTTTTCTGCCCCTCCAGCGCCTCACAGGAAATGCAGCACAGTCCACTGGGGCCCTGCAGCCCTGCCTGAGTTGATGGAGCCTCAGCCCTGGCAACTTCCTCCAAGATTTGTACAAGGCCAGGGAACAAGTGTCCTTCCCAGTCTGGCCCAGGGCCACCCAAATCAGCAGCCCCCGCCGTCTCCTGTGGTCTGGGCTGTACTCCCCGTGGCCAGGATGGAAGAAGTGGGGGTTCTCCGGAGTTCTTCCAAGCCACACAACCCGTGAGCTGTAAGCTCAGGCCTCAGCGACCTGGCCCTCTGCAGGATCCTGAGATGGAGCCAGGGAATCTGCTGGATACAGCTGCCTGGACCACTGCCTGGTGCCCAGCACCCCACTGGAAGGCCAAGTGCGCGTCTCCAGAGAACATAGCAAGAGGACACTGTGGGAATGAGCAGCTCAAAAGAGAAAGGGCCCTAACCAGCTGGCCCAGCACCCAGGCCACCCTGCCCACTTCTCCTTCCAGCCCCCAAGTACCAAGGCCTGGGCATAGGCTACAGGAAACACTTCTGGCATCCCTTGGTCTCTCGTTCATCCTATTCCAGCCAGTCTGACCCAGAGACAAAGAAGGGGAGACACAGGGATGGGTTCAGACCCCAAAGATGCGCGAGCATCAGGCACCCCCTTCCTCATACATGTGTCCTGGCGCTGCCTCTCCCGCACTCCCTGCCTTCCTCTTCATCCTAAGAAATGTTCTCACACTCTGTCTGGGATGCAGAACTCAGTCGTTTGTGCTATTGCTCCAGCCTATATGATATATAATAGTAATATATATATTTTATGAGACAGCTACTGAGAGTATCTCGCCTGCACAGCAAAGCCTGGCAAGCTACCCCACACCTAAGTATTTGATATGTCAAACACAGTAACAAGTGTCACAACGGAGATGATACTGGGCCCACTGGAGCAAATCGATGAACAACAGGACAGCGACAATGATTTTATGAAGCAAGAAGTGTGTAGGGCTACTCAAAGTAATCTACGGACCGAACATGATTGCCACCCAATGTCTCTTCTGCAGACCACAGCACCCAAAAGGAGAGATAGAACAAAAGGGAGTGCCCTGACACAGAGGCAGGGTGGGATGGGGGATGGGGGGGTGGGAGGGATACTGGGATTGGTGGGGGTGGAGAATGGGCACTGGTTGTGGGATGGGTACTCGATCATTGCATAACTGAAACCCAAGCACAACAACTTGTAAGTATACAACTGTACCTCATGGTGTTTCACTAATTAAAAAAAAAAGAAGTGTGTAGGGCTAACAGACAAGGGGCTCTGTGAAGACACTGCACCTGCTTTCTCAGACCTGCGAGAGAGGAAAAGAAGAATTTAGCAGTGCAAGGGGGAACTTGAGAGGTCACGCTGGGGTTGGGGACAGGGAGAAGGGAAGTCACTATGTTAGCTGCCACTGCAGAAGCCGAGAGCACTTCTTCTGTGAAGTCATGGCTACCCGCCCTTTGGCCTAGTCCTTCACCTCAGACTGGGCATGGGTGGGCACAGCCCCCAGAGTGTGCGCTGAGGGTGGCCAGGTGCCAGCCCCCATCTCTCATATCCCTCTCTCTGAGGCTGGGCTGAGAGAGGCCCAAGGTCAAGATGTCCCTCCTGGGAGCTTCGACAGGCCCTGCAGCCACTCCGTCCCCGGGTAGGAATAGCCAGGGAGGAGCAGAGACAAGGGCAGAGCCAGAAATGCACACTGGCGAGCTCCCTCAGGGTGTCCGGGGCAGCTAAGCAGGGGTGCAGGGGAGAGGGGAGAAAGTTGAGCACACGGGTTAGGACCCGACCCCACACCTAAGACAGTGGGGACCCTGCACTGGCCAAGAGAGGCCCTTGTGCAATACAGACAGAGCAGCCTTGGTCACAGGAAGTGCTGGTCACGCTGGGGTTCCCTGCGCTGCCTCCGCCTGCTCCTCCCTCCACTGTGCTCGTAAGCCCTCAGCCGCCCACAGAGAAGCATCGCTGCCGCAAGCCCTGAGCAGAGCACGACATGGGCCCGGCCCTGCTGCTGCTGCTGCCCCTGCTGGCCTCCATGCTGGACGGTGAGTGACCAGACAGGGGAACCCTATGGGGTGGCGCTGGCACCTGGGGGACGCACCTCACGGGGTCCAGGGTAGGGCCCCCATGGCCAGGAGCAAAGAGCTCCCCTGGTACTGGGTTATCCCTATCCATTAAGCTTGGACAGAGGACACTGCTCAGATGGACGGTCCTGCACTGCCCAGGGACATGGGGCATGGGGTTCAAACTTCTGTGTCTCTCCTCCCCAATTAGCTGCCCCTGAAAACTGTGGCAATCAAAACTTTGGGGTCGACCAGCAAAAGCACCTGTCAGCCCCCGAGGGCGGCTTCGTCCGCATCCCCTGCTCCTTCCACCACAGCTGGGAGTTAGCCAAGAATCCTGAGGTGAAGATAGCCTGGAGGTGGAAGAACTACCATGGAGATTTCATCTACAAACAGACTCCGAGTTGGACCCTTGAGGAGTTCAAGAACCGTCTCCACCTGGACTGGACACAGGGCCAGACCAGGGGTACCCTCCTCATACAGAACCTGCGGAGCAAGGACGCGACCATGTACTTCTGCCGAGTGTGGCTGAACACAAAGAGATGTGGGCCAAAGATGTTTCAGTCCATTCAGGGGACCAAACTCAGCGTCACCCCAGGTGAGTCAGCTGCTCGGACCAGCCCCTTTGTCCTAAAGCCTCCTCCTTTTCACACTCTCCATTTCAGTTACATTTCTGAAGAATTTGGTCATCAATAAACCAAATTTTGTGGGCCGGAGACAGTGCGTAGGTCAGTGGATAGGATGCTTGCCTTGCATGTGGCTTGTCGTGCCTTGCCATGCCTTGCATCCCGGGTTCAATCCCTACTACCGCATATGGTCTCTGGCGTCACCAAGAGGGATTCCTGAGCACAGAGCAGAAGGAAGCCCTGAATACCGCCAGGTATGCTCACCCAAATACAATTTCTTAATTCATGGAATTAAAGTGATATTCAAACTCATTTTTAAAATAAATATAGGAAAATAGAGTAATTTTCAGTTGACTTTCACCGTGCAAAGTCCTCACAGCAAAGAAATCTTGTCAGCCAGTGTCACTCCTAAGTTGGTGTTTACTTATGGATTCTTAACCTGCAGAGGGTTTGCTCTGCAGACCAACCTCACTGCATAATTGTATAGGGACAATTTATCTACTTTCTGATTTCTAAGCCCCAAATTCTTGTTTTTCTACTTCTAAAAATTTTTATAAAGCTGTTCACAGTAATTGTTTACATTCAGTATTTCAACACCAATCCCACCACCATTACTTTGACCCTTCCCACCAACCCCCAACCTGCCCCTTTGGCAGATGCTAAGCAGATTATTGAGCTTGCTAGCTCTGGGCGTGACTCCCACATACCTAACTTTTTTCTGTTTAATTTCTCCAGAAACTTGGTCCCAAAGTGTTAGGGTCTGGCCAGAGGCTCAGTGGCAATTTGGGGGTATCAGGAAGCCTGAAGGCATCTCAGCTGCTGATGCACTCGCCCCATGGGTACAAGCTGACTTGCTGTGTGCACCGTACCCCCTAAGTCCCAAATTCTATAAAGCAGCATAGAGTTAAAAATATTTTTTGTTATTTGGGGGCCTCCCAAGTCTTTCTCAGGGTCCCCAGGGGCCACTCCTGGCCACTGTCAGTAAGCCAGGCCAGTCTTTGAATCAAGGGACCAGGACACAAGGTTGTTTGAACCCCGTGTGTCAGGGGTCACCAGGGCCGCACTTGGGGTTCTCCAGAGTTGAACCTGCTGTACTCAGGAGGCCTTGTGGTACCAAAGATCAAACTGGGTTTTCCACATGCCAGACACAAGCATGGAGCCCTTTGTTGTCTCTCTGCCATGGTCAAGGAAGAAAACTGTGCAGCTGTGCCAGGCGGTGCTCAGAATCCCGGCCCAGCTCTGTGCTCAGGGACAGACGCTGAGCTGGGGTCTGCACCGGTGCCATGGCTAAATTGCATCCAGGCCAGTGCCCGAGCCTGTCCTCCCTCTCTCTCTCTCTCTCTCTCTCTCTCTCTCTCTCTCTCTCTCTCTCTCTCTCTCCAGCTCTCGGGGTGGGGGTTGGGGGTGGAATTTTGAGCAGAGCTCACAAGGGAAAACTTCTGTGAGCTGAGTGAAGGAGAGCTGTACCCTATAACAGGAAGCAGTCACACGGAATTAAAGGAGATAAGCACTAACGGTAGTGGGGGGACCCAGGAGGAAACCAGGTGACCCTGCAGACTACCTCCAAGGCCTGGGATGGTGCTGGGCAACGTGGGATCGGGGTTGGAGGGAGGATGGAAGGGGTGGGAGGGGTCTGGAAATCAGAGTGGCGCCGAAAATTGTGTAAAGGGCAAGGAAGTGAGACCCCCTCTCCCCAACAAAGCAACCTGGAGTTTTGGTTTCGTGAGAACCAGAAACTTTCAGGAGGCTTCCCAGCACAGAAAAGTTGGGGCTCAGCCCCCCAAAACTGAGGATCTGCTGAGTGGATGGGGCCCTACATGCTGGGCAGCCAGACCGAGGTCCTCCTACCCTGCTCAGAATTTCCCCCCGTAGTCAGATGGTCCCTCAGGAACCCAAGGCCCCCACAGCCACACACACTTCCCCGTCTGCTGGCTTCAAGGACACAGACCCAGCACTGAGCCGGGCCCTCTCCAGTTGTGCCAGGGCAGCCCTGGACTCCCCCCTGGGCCTCAGGCATCAAAGCCTCCTCAGAGCACATGGTCCCCAGGGAGCACTGCCTGTCCCCAAGCCAACCAGGTTCCTGAATATGGGTTTGGGTTGTTTTTTGTTGTTTTTGTGTCACACCTGATAAAACTCACAGGCTACTCCTGGCTCCGTGCTTAGGGATCACTCCTGGTGGTGCTCAAGGGACCATATGGGATGCCAGGGATCGAACCCAGGTGGGCTGAGTGCAAAGCAAACACCCTCCTGTTGCACTATCACCAAGAGTCCAGCTCCAGTTTCTTGAATCTCGGCGGTGGTCACATGCCAGCAGGGCTCTGAGGATCACTCTGGCCCAAGGTCTCTGAATCCCGGCTCTGGAGCCCTCACTGGGGCCGGCCCCCGGGGGGAAGGAGAGAGAGTTCAAGATGCTGATAGAAGCTTCGGTGCGTTCACAAAACTGTATCCACTGACACCTGGTGGACCAGCAACTTTCACAGCCCAGAAAGTTCCGGGCTCTGGCCACTACTTTCCCAGGGGAGATAAGACTCGCTCCAACCACGACCGGATGGGGCCGAGCTAAAAGGGCTGACAGACAACGGTCTCTGTGAAGA